CTGATGGGCTGGGTCCAATCACAGCCCAGAGTCCTGTGTTGATAAACAACACAGGGCTTTGTACAGCGATCTATTTATTTTTTATTTGTAAAAAGCAGCACATAATACACACATTAACACATGATAGGCACACACTTAACCCCGTGATTCCCACAAGATGTTAACCACTTCCCAGCTAGTGTCATTAGTACAGTGACAGTGTATAGTATCCCTGATCACTGTATTAGTGTCACTGGTGGTGTCAGTCAGTTCCCACCCAGATTGCCCCACACAATTTTGCTGGTATAAAAAAATAAATAAAAATAAAAATTCTAGTATATATACCATAGTTTGTAGAAGCTAATAGTGCCTATGTGTTACCCTATGTGTCCGTGCACGCTACTTTAGGCTATTAACATTTTTTGAGTGTCAGGGTCTAGTAGCAGAGTTTTTTTTTTTTGGAGCAGTTTTCCAGCAGAAGAAAACGCTAAACGATCCTAAACGCTACTGAGACGCTCCTAATAGCTTTTTTTTCTAGCTTTTTTTTTTTCTACATGTACAGTTAAAATGCTAAATGCCACTAAAAAATTCTATTACCAGCATTTATCTACCTTTTTTTTTTCCCAGCATTTTTTGAGCTAAAAAAAAAATAAAACGAACAAAAAAAAATGGTAGTGTACATGGAGCCTTAAAATGTTTTATAGCAGAGAGTAAAAAATGTTTTTTTGTGTTTTTTTAACTCTTCAGCCTTTTTTCCTTTTTATATAATAAAATACCCAGTGGTGATCAAATGGCACCAGAAGAAAGCTCTATTTGTGTGAAGGAAATTTATATAAATTTAATTTGGGTACAGCGTTGCATAACTTCACAGTTGCCAGGTAAGTCCTCATGCACACTGGACGTTTTTACAGCGGCTGTTTTTGGCTTTTGACGTTTTTTTTTTTCTACAGCCAGTAAACCCCCCCAGCATGTTATCCTATGTGTCCATGCACACATAAACTGTAATCAACGTTTTTTTGGCTGGAAAAAAAACCGAGGACTAGTGGGTTTCTAGAGGAGTTTTTTAGCTGGAAAAATGCTCTAACGCTGACAAACTTGGTAAAACGCTGCAAACCTGCTTTTTTGGAGTTTTTTTTTCTTTACCCAGAAATGTTTTTTTCTGTAAAAAATAAAAAACCTAAAAAACGCCGCTAAACACTAATGCAAAAAAACTAAAAAAAGCTGAAGAACTCAAGTTTTTAACGTGACTTTACACAGCTAACGTGGCCATCATTATCAAAACGCCCCGTGTGCATGGATCCTTAAAGTAGCACAGTGCTAAATAACATAAAATGGCCTAATCATGAAGGAGGTTAAACTTTCTGGAGCTGAAGTGGCTAAAGCAGGACATGTCTCCTCCTGTGCCACCATCCCCTCCCTCCTAGATTGTAAGCTCGAAAGAGCAGGGCCCTCAATCCCCTCATGTTTTGCATTGTATTGGTATTGTTCTGTCACATGTTCTGTCCCCCTCTGTAATGTACAGTGCTGAGCGAACTATTGGCGCTTTATAAATACTGTATAATAATAATAATAATGTCACTCGGGGCTGTACAAATGCTATGTGGATATCTCTCTCCCTGTTCTATGTTATTCTGACAGCAAGGGCTCCCTTCGTCCCCTCCCATCCCCGCCATCAGAATACACAGATCAGCACAGCAGTCATTATCTGCAATGGCTGATCATTATGCTGATTTTCCAGCAGGACCATTTGACAGAAGCCAATCTAAACAAACAGAGAAGGGAACACACTCATAATGAAATTTGTCTGGTTGCTGCTGAACCGGCTGAAGTTCAATGTGTGCCTCTGCTTGATCTGCAGCTGCCATGATGCTGCACATCCGTTATCACGCCAGCCATTTGATGGCGTGACAGCTCTGTTGAGAGAACAAGCAATTGTGACAGATATCATTCACAGCATATCTTTAATGAAACCGTATTAGGAAACGATTGATATAAATCTATTAAATATACAGGTGACCTCAAAGGCAAGTAAAAAATACATGCATTTCCCTTCTCACTTTCCTCCATGTGAAATAGGTATCTCAGTCTGCCGCATAGATCGCGCTGGCTTCAGTGCCAGTTCCAGGCTTCTTGCCAAGGACCACCTCTTGGGTGAGCAGTTCAGGTAATTTCCAGAGCTGGCAAGTCTCTTAACCCCATGTCTGCTAGAGGGCTCTTAATTATTTAGCAGAGTGAGGCCTAACATAAGATGGATCCATTTCACGGTCATTTTCTAGAGAAACAATAAGTCGCACAATAAAATGTCGTTCCTGTACACAGTTAGGTAATCATCACTGTGGCCGTCCTAAGCACAAAGATGGATTAGATGCTTCTGTGCAATCATGAATCTTCCAGGTACGGTGGTGCAAGTACTCACTCAGTGTTTGTCGTTGGAATAGACAGACGATCTAGATCAGGGAACACAGACCTCAGTGTGTCTCATCTGACCATGGACAGCACAGGTTATAATATTCTGTGGGTTCTGTGTTCAGTGCGTTCTGCTTATTACTCTGGTAGATGCTGACTGTAGACACACAGGAACCACATTCGTCTGGCGTTGGCACTGGGCAGATGCATGGATCTGCAGAAGATAATCAGATCCTCCTGCAATTTCAGAATTATCTTTGTAATAATGCTAATGATTCTCCTAAAACAAAAAAAATTTGGTCTCCATTTGATTCTCAAAATTAGTCTGATTAGGCAAAGTAAATTTTGTGTTTCTGCTTATCTTTTATGATTAAGAAAGTATTCTGGAAGAATTAAGAATTTATTAAAATAGGTAATCTGTTTCAGTTCACTGTAGTTCACAAAACCCGATTTATGAAAATGTCAGTGAAATCGGCACAATTCATCATTTTCATTATTTCACTTTGGTTTGTTTCATTTTCTCTTAAGGTTAATCTTTGTTTTCTTTTCTTTGAGGATAATCCTTGTTTCATTTTCTCTGACGACATTCCATGTTTCATTTTCTCAGAGGATAGTTCTTGTATTATTCTTTCAGAGGGTAGCCCTAATTTGATTCCCTAGGCTTAGCCCTAGTTTGCTTCCCTAAGGAGAGCCCTGGTTTGGTGCCCCAAGGATAGTCCTGCTTTTTGATTCCCCAAGGATAGTCCTGCTTTGATTCCCCAAGGATAGTCCTGCTTTGATTCCCCAAGGATAGTCCTGCTTTGATTCCCCAAGGATAGTCCTGCTTTGATTCCCCAAGGATAGACCTGCTTTGATTCCTCAAGGATAGTCCTGCTTTGATTCCCTAAGGATAGTCCTGCTTTGATTTCTCACGGTTAGTCCTGTTTGATCCCTCAAGGATAGTCCTGGTTTGATTCCCTAGGGATAGCTTTAGCTTGATTCCTGAAGGATAGCCCTAGCTTGATTCCTGAAGGATAGCCCTAGTTTGATTTCTTAAGCATAGCCCTGGCTTGATTCCCCAAGGATAGCCCTGGCTTGATTCCCCCAAGGATAGCCCTGGCTTGATTCCCTAGGGATAGATTTAGCTTGATTCCCTAAGGATAGCCCTAGTTTTTTTTTAGAGCATTTTTACAGCTGAAAAATAAAACTCCTCTAGAAACCCACTAGTCCTCAGGGGGTTTTTTTTCCAGCCAAAAAACGTAGTATGAGTCACCCACTTGATTTTATATCTGTTTTGGGGATCTAACGGCAAGATTTACCCAACATAGCTCCAAGCAATTTTCTATCACATTCGAAGTCTTAGGCTGGTCATAGATGACCAGACATCTAATTGAGAGTTATGGATGGAAAGACAAACGTCTGTTTGCTCACAGCAGGACCTGCCACATGTTATAATGTGACTATCAGATGAGAAGCTGCAGAGCACTTATGGTCACTACGTCCTTCTCTCTTCTTCTCCTCACTGGTCCTGATAGATTTTACAGCAGGATGAAAAGCACTAGTCATTGACCTCTATGTATCTTCATAAATGACAAGATACCTGAGTTTGTATTGGCCATAACATATGTGCTGGCCACTTAATAGAAGCTCAGAGATTTTACTGCCGGAGTACCTGAGACTCGTAAAAATTGTCTCTAGCTTGGATTGACCCATTATGTTAGAAGGGCTTTTCTCATTTATAAATATGATAATAAAACCACCAGTAGTCCTCTTTTATGGCTGAAATACAGAAACTATGAATGCTACCTGCAATTTCTTTTCATTTTACATGTTCTGTTCATAATCAAGGTTTTTTTTTTTTGGCCCCCGTGACTAAAGAATATATATTTATGTATTCATTTTAATGAGTAGAAAGTCATGTTTTTATGACATTACATTATCTCTTCTTTATTTAGAATTTCACAAAGACTTTTTAATACTATATAAAGCCTATTTTTTCTTTTTTTCCTCTTTTTTAATTTAAAAAATCAGCACAAGGAATGGAATTTATATTCAGTCGGAAGTGTTCCTTGTGTTGATGGCCACAGTCTTAGTAGAAATATTCTGTCCTCTGATATCCCCCATCCCCCATCATACATTCACAGTGGCAATCATCTTCTGATGCTGCAGGGTTTAAAGTGTTACTAAACCCACAACAGTAAAATCAGTCTGTATATACAGTATAGCATGCTTGTTATACTCACTGTGGAACCTAAGGGGTTAATCCTCTGCATTGTATAAAAAGGATGTTTGATCCTGTCTTCTCTGATCCTACCCTTCTACTGTCCCCAATCCATCCTCTGATAGAACAGAGCCTTAGGGGCAAGCTACATATTCTCAGTTTGGTGTGTATTGCTAGAACTTTTTTATTTTTCTTGGGAGATTGCATGTGATCAGCACAGGGCCAATCAGCACTGTTCAGACAGAGGGTCAGGGGTCCTGCAGTCTCATAGAACAATCAGGGGAGAATGAAAACTCCTCCTGCAAGCGTTAACCAGTGCTCTGCTAGACACTGATAGAAGTCATAAGACTGCTCTAACTGCTGAGGAGAAAATGTATTTAGCAGTTTATATTTATTAAAATAATTGCATTTTCATGTTCTGTGTGAGACCAAATATAGTGAATGCAGGGTCCTGGGTTTAGTAACGCTTTATTACAGTTGCTGTACATTTTCAATGAAGTTAACAAAAAAATAAAAGGTTGAAGGTGTCTTGCATTGTTGGGCTTCATGCACAAACGCCAGTGTTCTTGGCAGATAAAAAAGGTTATTTTGAGCATTTTTTTTACTAGCGTTTAAGAGTGTTTGGTGTTTTTTTTTCTGCCAGCAAAAGCTTTCAAAAACACAAAACAGAAGCGTTTTTTATTTTTCTGCTTCTAAACACTGAGGTTAAAAAATGACTCTAGACTACCTAATGTGCATGGACACATAGGATAACATTAGCAGCTTCTACAGGCAAAATGCTAATCTCTTCTAGAAGCAGCATTTTTTTAAGCCAGTGTGCATGGAGCCTAATTATCCCCCCAAAAAATCAGTTTCCTTGGGGTATACTTATTTGTTTCACATGACTGTTTGTGTATTAGGTTCATTTGAAAAACAAGCCATATATTTCTGCATATTAAGGAGTTAATAAATGACAATGCTAATACATTGCTGCTTGTGTAGCAAACAAAGTCAAGTGAAGACAAGTCATTAAACCGGCTTACAAAAAGTCATGCAGACCACACCTTAGAGATGTGCTGATATTAATTTCAGGGCTGCAAAAATTGCATTCAGATATGTTTTATTCTTACAGTTCTAACAAGGCAAATGATATCTTCAAGCCCAACACTGAGCAGATAAAAAAAAAGATCCCTTGCCGTGGGGCTGCGAGGGTTAATAGCTTGTTTTGTCTAGGGGAGAGGAGGAACCGGTTTACGTACCTCCCCCGCGATTCGGCGGTAGACTGTCCCTCAATGTCCTCACATCCATTGCAGGGCTATGGACCCTGTGCTGGTTTTGATGATGTCAGGGCCCTATCCTGGTGGAGCATGGGGGTGCAGATGCTGCGGGCTGGAGCAGAGGATTGGGTAAGTAAATCTCTATTTATAGTTCCCCTAGGTATAAACAAGCAATTAATCTTTGTAGTGTGGGCACAGTGCCACTGCAAGGGTTTTATTTTTTTTTAATTGCCCAGAGTTGGGCTTTAATAAAACCCAGTTTGGCCAAACCTTCTTTTTTTTTTTGTTAAAAGAAAATGGGTTGGAGCCTTTGTCCAATCAGATTGATTGTTCCTTCATTAGCAGATTTCCCTTCATGTCCTTCTCCAGTAATACAGCCTGTTGCACCCTAACAATCAAGGTGTCTGTAGTCAAGAGAGGAAATCTAAGTAGGGACACGGACATCAGTAATAACCTTGACAGAGTATCAGATTCTTCCCCATTGAGGAGATTGTGACTTACCGTACATCTTCTACTGATGAGGGGAATATCAACATGTATGCAGAAAACATTAAAGTGTTACTAAACCCAGGACCCTGCATTCACTATATCTGGTCTCCCACAGTATACAGAACATGGAAGTGCAATTATTTTAGTAAATATAAACTGCTTAATACTATTTCTCATCAGCAGTTGGAGCAGTCTTGTGACTTCTATCAGTGTCCAGCAGAGCATTGGCGAAAGCTTGTAGGAGGAGTTTCCATTCTGCTCTAGGAGGATGCAGAACCCCTGACCTCTGTCTGCACAGTGCTGATTGGCCCTGTGCTGAACACATGCAATTTCCCAAGAACAAAAAAGAAAAAACCTCTCTAGCAATACACTTTAAACTGAGCATGTGCAGAGTCACTCCAAATGATATGTCTTATCAGGAGATCAGAGGGCAACACTGGAAGAAGGGGAGGATCATTGAAGACATTTTTCAACAATGCAGAGGATTAACCCCTTATGTTCCACAATGTGTATATCAAGCATGCTTTACTGCACTTATAGACTGATTTTACTGTTGTGGATTTAGTAACACTTTAAAAAACTGAGTTTCTAAACCTTTCCTATTCTGTCCAAAAATTAGATGGGCTTTATATAAGACCAGTGGCGTGTATTTTTATGGAATTGTTCACTTAAAAAAAATGGAGAGAAAAAAAATCAATTTTTATAGTATTTCAAAGAGGAAAAATGTATTTTTTTTCCTTTTATCGTTAATGATTTCCATGGGGGACAAAATGTACTTTAACTAGCACTGACCGCCCTGTGCAGCCTATGACAGATGCACCTGTACCGCACGCAGGGATGTGGTGTCCCAGTCCTGACAACTTCTGCTTAATAGGTCCTGCAGGGATTTGTAGCTAGGCACACTGTAATATATGTTCACTGTTGACAAGGATGTCTCTTGATCTATGCTTGTTTTATTTTCCCCGAGTACCTGCATTATTTATGTCTGTAAAAAAAACTGGAGAGGTCCATGTTGCTGATTCTGGCTACAAAGTAAGGCTCCATGCACATTGGCATTTTAATGACGCTGGTAAAGTTAGCTGTGTAAAGTCACGTTAAAAAAATGTGAGTTTTTAAGCATTTTTTTTAGCGTTTTTGTATTAGTGTTTAGTGGCGTTTTGACGCTTTTTGTTACGTTTTTTCACATTTGCGTTTTCTAGAGGTTCTTTTGCCCCTGCCCCAATTTTTTTTTGGCCAAAAAAAGTCCAAAATTGCTGGTTTGCTGTGATTTACCACATTTTTCAGTGTTCGAGCATTTTTACAGCTAAAAAACTTCTCTAGAAACCCACTAGTCCTGGGGCTTTTTTCCAGCCAAAAAAAAATGCCCCTGCCAAAAAACGTTGATTACAGTCTATGTGTACATGGACACATAGGATAACATGCTGGGGAGTTACTGGCTGTAGGAAAAATCGTCAAAAGCCCAAAACAGCCTATGTAAAAAAGTCCAGTGTGCATGAGGACTACAAATTCCAACATGCTTTAGGGCCAGTTCACACTGCAAAAATGCACTCCGGATACATTCTAGATACGTTTTTGCTTACAGATCACACCACACTCAGTTCCGGTGCAGCTTTGATGCAGTTTGCTGTGTTCCAGTATGGTTTTGTACAGAAAAAAGGCAGCATGTTCTACTTTTTTTTTTCTCCACCAGAAACTGACTGGAACTGACAGCACTAGTATGAACCAGCGCCATTGGAATACATGGGAAAACACTGTGCATGCATTTTTGATTCAGAAAAAAAGTGCACTGAATTGCATCTAGTGTGAACCAGCCCTTATATTTGGTCATTGGTTGCATCTTTCTTTGCACCTTTTTATGTTCTCGCATAAATTTTGTTAATTTTACCCAATAATAGACTCTATGTATCAAAACTGGTGGAAATGAGTGGAGGTGTTGCCAGAATCAACCAATCAGCTTCCGGCTGTCATCTTTTATAGGTAATAACACCATGAATAGTTGATCCAAGGAATATCTGATTGCCTCCTGGAGGATCAGAAAAAAAGATTTTTTTTTTCTTCCACTTAACAAACTGGAGCATTCTTTGTTTTTTGCCTTCCTCTGGATCAGCTGTTGGTATAAGATTCTGTATATGGTTTCCATTTGGTTGTTTTTTACAGTTGGTTAAACTAGATGGCCTTGTGTCTTTTTTTTTTTCAAACTATGTAACCATTTTAGCTTTCACCTTTTCACATTTGCTTTCAGTAACATATTGGTTGTGGCATTTTTTGTTTAAATTTTAAAATCAGTACTTTTTGCTAGTTTTGGGGAAAAAGAAATACAGTTTTTTGAATTTTATTGCCAAAAAAAAAAAACAAATATATATATATATATATATATATATATATATATATATATATATATATATATATATATATCCCGATTTTTGTAAAACATGAAAGCTGATTCTTTTTACTCGGCATAACATCAGCTTTCATGTTTTACAAAAATTGGGAGATATATATAGATAGATAAATATATATCTATAGATATATATATCCAAATTTTTGTAAAACATGAAAGCTGATGTTATGCCGAGTAAAAAGATACCAAACATGTCACGCTTTAAAATTGTGCACCTCACTGTTTTGCCTCAAAACAAAGTGTTTTTAACACTACTACAATCGCTCACTAATGCATGGATTAGGCTTAATAAATATTAAAGCAAAACATGATTTATTGAATAAGTTCTGTTAGTATAATAACATAAGAATTGTCAGAATTCCAAATCATATTTACACCATATTATAGCAAGAATAATGCATCAATACATCACCAGATATTGTAGCATCACCCGTTGCCCAACAATTGAGGGACTCCAGCAATCAGCAAAAGGGAAATCCGGGAGATCACCGCAAGGCACGTCTGCCGCGTCTTCAATGAGTCCCGAATTCCCCTAGAATCCCCTGTCTTTTATATACATCATTTTCAGTGTCCTTGTCTACTGCCATGGGCAGTAGACTCTGTTTGTGTAACTATTGTGACTATTAACCTTGACTTGTTCGACTATACATCTTGTAACTATGAATCCTTGACTGATTGCGACTGAACATCTGGTAACTATGAATCATAGATCTAGCCTTGATAGATTTTAACAATGTCCTTGTCTTATTCTAAACTCTAGTTACTTCTCCACTGATATATCCTACTAAAATTATGGCAATTGAGTGTCAATCATCCTTCACACATAAATTCTATACACCCATGTCACATATGTATCACACTCACTTGTGTGGGACAATCGCTGCTTGCGTGTGTGTGCGACCGACACTTGCGTTCCCCTTAACTAAAATAATGCATTTCCATGTTGTGTGTACTGTGGGAGACCCGATATAGTGAATGCTGGGTCCGGGGTTTAGTAACAATTGAAAGCAATATGACAAATTGGAGGAGTTCTGTACACGGTTGGTATACAGAACACCTGCAGGTTGCCATATTGCATTAAATTGTACAAAAAAAATTACAGCGGCTGCACATTGAAAATAAAAGGTAATTTTTAAAATAACAAATTACAGTATGACTTGAATAACTATTGTATATGGTGTAATTTGTTTTAATTTGCAGTATTTCTTTACCATGAAATTAGAGTTACCCTTTAAACAAAACATTCATCAGGTTGGTTTGTTCAGTATTGGTAAATGCAGTGATATTATCTGTTAGCTGTGCTATGTTCC